ATTTTGGAGCATTTCTGGCTTAAAAAAAACAACTTCTGAGTTTGTTGGGTTTTTTAAATGAAAAGACGAGAGTTCCTAAGGAAGGTGTTGCTGCTCGTATAGGTGGGGGGGATTTTCCTGTTGGATTTTGGAGCTTTTCTGGCTTTAAAAAAACCCAAACTTTTGAGTTTGTTGGTTTTTTTTTTTCCAAATGAAAAGTCAGGGGTTCCTAAGGAAGGTGTTGCTGCTCATACAGGTGGGGGGGATTTTCCTGTTGGATTTTGGAGCATTTCTGGCTTAAAAAAACCAACTTCTGAGTTTGTTGGTTTTTTTAAATGAAAAGACAAGAGTTCCTAAGGAAGGTGGTGCTGCTCATACAGGTGGTGGGGAGCATGAGGAGGAAGACAGGGATTACAGCACTGACATTTTTTTGAGACCACCACCCAGGGATGGTGGCTGTCCCATGCTTGGAAGTGTTCAAAGACAGGCCTTGGAGCAACCTGGCCTAGTGGAAGGTGTCCCTGAAGTCCTAGCTGACCTTCAAAGACCCCTCCCAACCCACACCACTCCTTGGTTCCATGATCTGAGAAGGTTGCCCGGCTGCTTCTGGCAACTTGAGGGCTCCCGTCTCACCAAAACAGAGATCAGAAGAGTGTCCCATCCACTGCCAACGTTTGCTGGCACCAAAATGGGTGAGGAATTAAAATTTTTCCTTTTCCCCCGGGGAACCCTCCGTCTTCCTCTCCCAAACGCCCATTACAGGTGACATGAGGTGTGGGGGGTGACCTTGGCTGGCCACCAGGTGCCCACCAAGCTGCTCCACTGCTCAGCAGCAGGGGGAGGCAGAAAATAAGCTAGAAAAAAAACCCCTTTGTGGGTCAAGATAAATGGAGTTTGATGTTGGAGAATATTTTCTCTAGGCTGAGCCCCCACGCAGCTCCCTCAGAAGTTCTCCCTGTGCTCCATTCCCTTCCCTGGACACGCTCCAGCCCCTCAGTGTCTCTCTGCCTCGAAGTTCACCCGAGAGCAGCTCTGTACACAACACATTGTGTTTTCCTCGGGGTGATGTAATGCCTCTGCCCTCCTCCCCCCCCCTCCCTCCCTCCCTCCCTCTCTCACACACCTATTTTCCCCAACTGAAACCCATTAAATCACGCAACTCCTCGGCCAGCTGGGAACTGGGCTGGAAAAGCCCGCGGCCGCTTCCAACCGCCTGCGTGCCCGGGGTTGTGGAGCTTGAACCCTGGCTGCAGCCCTCTCCACGCAAGGGTGTGGCGCTCTCAAATATTAGTCCTCGCTCTTAACAGCCTGAACAAGCAGGCAGAGTTCAGGGAATGTGCTGACTTTCCCGACCTCAAATATTTACCGTCGCACCGGCCAATTGCCGCGCGCGGCGTCGCGGCCCAGCGCACGTAGGCCCGCGCCCGGCGTGCACAGGCATGTGGGCCCCGCTCTCACACGCTCCCCATGGAGCAGCTCTGCCTTCCCTGCAGCCCCTGGGCCCCGCACAGCTGGGGGATCGTGTCAGGGAGCGGGTCGGAAGGCACCTCAAAGCTCGTCTCGTGTCCCACGGGCCAGGGGCACCTTTCGCTGGACGAGGCTCCTTCCAAACCAGCCTGGAGCACTTCCAGGGCTGGGGAAGGGGCAGGAGCACCTTTCAATAGACAGGGCTCCTTCCAAACCGGCCTGGAGCACTTCCAGGGCTGGGGAAGGGGCAGGAGCACCTTCCAATAGACAGGGCTCCTTCCAAACCACCTTGGAGCACTTCCAGGGCTGGGGAAGGGGCAGGACCACCTTCCGATAGACAGGGCTCCTTCCAAACCGCCTTGGAGCACTTCCAGGGCTGGGGAAGGGGCAGGGGTACTTTCCACTAGACCACGTTGCTGCAGGTTCCTTCCAAGCTGGTCTTGAGCACTTCTAGGGCTGGGGAAGGGGCATGGGCACCTTCCACTAGACCAGGCTGGCCTTGAGCACTTCCAGGGCTGGGGAAGGGGCATGGGCACCTTCCACTAGACCAGGCTGGCCTTGAGCACTTCCAGGGCTGGGGAAGGGGCAGGAGCACCTTCCACTAGACCACATTGCTCCAGGCTCCTTCCAAGCTGGCCTTGAGCACTTCTAGGGCTGAGGAAGGGGCATGGGCACCTTCCAAGATGGTCTTGAACACTTCCAGGGATGGGGAAGGGGTAGAAGCACCTTCCACTAGACCACAGTGCTCCAGGCTCCTTCCAAGCTGGCCTTGAGCACTTTCAGGGCTGGGAAAGGGGCAGGAACACCTTCCACTAGACCAGGCTCATTCCAAACCGGTCTTGAGCACTTCCAGGGCTGGGGAAGGGGAATGGGCACCTTCTAAGCCAGTCTTGAACACTTCCAGGGGTGAAGAAGGGGCAGGGGCACCTTCCACTAGGTCAGGCTCATTCCAAGCTGGCCTTGAACACTTCCAGGGGTAATAAAGGTGCAGGGGCACCTTCCACTAGACCACATTGCTCCAGGCTCATTCCAAGCTGGCCTTGAGGACTTCCAGGGGTGGGGAAGCCACATTTGGGCAGGAAAGTGAAAACACTGGGCCACAGCAAGATCTCCAGGGCCTTGCCCGCAGCTGTGAAACCTGGAGGAGACAGGTCGCCAGGACCACATCCTGCTCCTCAAAAAACCCCTGGAGGCTGCACCACGGGGAGGAGGGAGGTGTATTTTTTATGGCTCAGGGAAATACGGGTTCTGCAGAGGGTTTACCAGCAGTTACCCGGGTGTTTTATGGGATCTGGGGGTGCCTCAGCGTGCCAAGACGAAGGCGAGATTCGCCCCCTGTGCAGCCCAGACATTGTCCCCACCAGGTCACCTGGCTGGGTCAGCCACACCGAGGCCCTCCGGTTGTAAACAATACCAGGTTGATCTCCAGGATGGAAACCATTGTCCCAGGAGCTGGCTCCATCTCCCAGGACAGCACGGCAGGGCAGGCTCAAACAAAGGGCCCGAACGGGCATTCCCGGCCCCGGAGGGAGGCGGGGGAGCAGCCACGGGTTAGATATTTAATCTCACAATGGCTCCCAGGAAATGAATGGTGTCTCCAGGAGAGGGACAGAGCCCAGCCCACAGCAAAACCACAAGGAAAGATCTCAGAGATCAGGTACTTCTCAGCCCGGGCAGGGAATGGGGAGAAAGGACATGATTAACCCTTCAGGTGATGGAGCTGAGGTGGCACCAGGCAGGAGTTGGGATGGGTTCTGTCATTGCAGCTCCAGTGAGGTGAAAGCCTCAAAAGCAAAACACGAGGCTTAAAATATTGGATGCAGAACCCCTGAGCCTGTTTGTGTCTGGCCCTGGATTGAATTCCCTTCTTTTTACTCGCCCCACACCACCAAAAGTTCTCTTAACTACTCGGGTCACACCCTCCCTCACCTTTATGCCCTTCCCTCTTCGAGTAAGTGAAGTGGAAGGAGGCAAACACATGTGGCTTTCCAGCCCAGTTACTGGGAAACCTGAAAAAACCACCACATTTGATTGGATTTTAAAAGCCACCCAGGTTTTCCTGGACACCTCTTTATACTGCCTGACTCAGGTGGGTCATGGAGCTCTGAAGAGAAGAGGGAAAGAGAGTTTTCATTTTAAAGCAGAGCCCTGTGACAAAGGCCTGTCACCACCCAGCTTTGGGAGCAGGGACAACATCCTTCCTGTTCCTTTCTGTGCTGGTCTCCAGCCCACTCCTACCCAGTTCCTGCCAAAAAAATATTGTACCTCACACACACAAAGAAAAATTCTTTGCTGGAGTGTTCAAGGGGCTGATAAGGGGAGAAGGGAAGGGAGCCAAGAGCAGGAAGCGATTCCCAGCCACGGGATGGGGTTTGGTCGTTGTTCATAAAAAAGAAAAGTGAACTCTGGGCCAGCTTAATTGCTTTCAGTAAAGATCAGCCCTTCTATAAAAGAGATTTATGAGGGCACTGATGGTTCCTGGACTACCAGGGGATCTGATAACGTTCCAGGTATAATAAATGTCTTAAGGAGGGGACCTGGGCTTGAATGCACAAGTGGCACTGAGGGGAGCTGGCTGTGGTGGGAGCTGCTCTGGGCTGGGCACTCTGTTTGCACCAGCGAGGGCACCCCTGCCCTGGGAAGGAGGGCACAGCCCTTCTGTGCACGGATTTGGAGCCCTTCTGGAGGTGGGTTGGGAGTGATGCACCACTGGCAGCTGCTGAGGGGACACGAGTGGTCGGTGTAAACAGGGAGACACGAGGGGTCCCCTCCTTTCCTTGGGAGTCACAGGGGTGCTGACAAAAAAGAGACAGCCCTTGTCTCCTCAGAAGTCCTGTGCAGGCAACACAGGCCTTCACACAATCCTTCTGTGGGAGAAACAGGATCAGATCTGGGAAGGATCTGGGAGATCTCAAAGGAAGAGCTCAGAGTGACAGAGGAGCCCAGAATCCCAGACTGGGTTGGGTTGGAAGGGACCTTAAAGCTCATCCAGTTCCACCCCCTGCCATGGGCAGGGACACCTTCCACTGTCCCAGGTTGCTCCAAGCCCTGTCCAACCTGGCCTTGGACACTTCCAGGGATCCAGGGGCAGCCACAGCTTCTCTGGGCAACCTGTGCCAGGGCCTCCCCACCCTCTTCCCAACATCCCATCTAACCCTGCCCTCTTTTTGGGGGGTTTAGGGGCATCTTTTCCAAACCATTGACTCGAGAGCCTCCCAGAGTTCTCCTAAATTCCAGACCATCCCAGCAGAAGGCAAGCAAACACCCACAGCAGTGTGTGTCCTATAAAATCCACTATAAACCAGCACAACCCCTGGAGTTTTCTCAGCATTAACAGCAGCAGACCTGCCTGTGCTCCTTATCCCAACCAGATGAATCAGCTCAGTGACATTCTCAGGACCATTAACAGGACAGGGAAGGAGCACAGGCAGCATTTCCTGGTGCTGTGCTGCTCTTACCTGTGTGAGTCCTCTGATGTGCCTTCAGGTGGGAGCTCTTGGTATAAACTTTGGAGCAACCTGCAAGAACAGGGGAAAAAAACAGAATTTCCTCATGAGAAAGGGGCCCTTGCTCAAACAGACTCTGATATTTGAGGTGAGGGACAGAGCTGGGTAATGCAAATAAGCCTAGCCTGTACTACTTGGGTTCAGCAGGAACTAAAAGAGCATTTGTTCTCCCAGACAGGCAGGCCTTTACATCATCTTTGGACACAATCCTGACACCCCTGGCCGTTGTGCTGGGAATTAGGGGGGGAAGAATCAGGCACAAACATTCAAACCTCCCCTTCCTCCACCAGATCTTCCAGGCAGGATAAAAACACTCAATTCACCCCCATTAGCTGCTGGCTTTGTGCTGCCCTTTGTCTCTCTGGATTCCAGACATAACTGATATCACTTTGCAAGGCTGGAGGGAAGGTGTATTTGGTAACAGTCCCGGCCCCAGCAGACGTGGTAAAAATGTCCCAGGCAGCAGGAAACACCAGGTACAGTGTGGAGCCACTACTTGCCTTCCAGGATCCAGAATAAAGCCAGTGGGAAGTGTTTGCAGAAGCTCAGCAAGAACAGGTTTGTCAAAACGAGTCCTCAGTTCCTCTTTTCAGTCAGAGGGAGCTCAGGAGAGCCCCTCCTGCTGCCTTCCTGGCCCTGCTGCTTTGTGTTTTGACAAGCAGACTAAAATATGAATTTGAATTTTTATGACCTGCATAATGGCCCCATTTTCCATTCCAGCGTTTCCACCCAGCCTAAAGAAGCCTCTTGCCCCAGATCAGCCCTTGGTCCCATCCTGCTCAGGCGGTGGGAGACTTTATCCCTCCTGGCTGGGGGGGGACAAGGGTTGGTGACCCACTTCAGTTCTGCTGCTGGTGCTCTGAAGCCTCACACTTGGAAGAGAAATCATGGAATCACAGACCGGTTTGGGTTGGAAGGGACATTAAAGCTCATCCTGTTCCACTCCTCTGCCATGGGCAGGGACACCTTCCACTAGACCAGGCTGCTCCAAGCCCCATCCAACCTGGCCTTGGACACTTCCAGGGATCCAGGGGCAGCCACAGCTTCTCTACCCAACCTGTGCCAGGGCCTCCCCACCCTCCCAGCCCAGAATTCCTCCCCAGCATCCCATCTAACTCTGGCAGTTTGAAGCCATTCCCCCTGTCGTGTCCCTCCAGGTCTTTGTCCAAATCCCTCTCCAAGTCTCTTGGAGCCCCTTTAGGACCTAGAAGGTGCTGGATGGGACTTTGCAAACACATCTCCCCCATTCCTGCAGTTCCAGGTGTGAATTCTCCCTGTGTCCCTTCCCTGCCTCACACAGCCCATGGCAGCGAGAGCTGCTGCCCCTGCCAGAAGTCCTGACTGGTCTCACCTCCAGCTGAACCTCAGAGTGAAGGCTCAGCCAGAGCCCAGCTCTGTCTCTGCACGTCCACACCCCCCAGACACCCAGTGTTTGTTCAGCACAGGTTGCTGAGGGGTTTTTTTTGCACCACAGACCAAAATCCTGCTGAAAACAGGCGAGTTTTGCCTTGGTACTTCATCCTACAGGATGAGACTCTTCCTCAGAGCAGCAAGACAAGAACAAGGAGTCTGTCCCAGAGCAGGGCTCCACTTACACCCTTCAGATGGAAGGTAAAAAGCAGCACATGCTGTCAACCCCAAGAACATGGGGGCAGCTGCTGGCTCAGAAAATCCCTGATCTGCAGGTTGCCAGAGGGTGGGAAGGGGTAAGATCCTGGAGACAGGACCTGGACTAGGCAAAGCCTCTGGGCTGCCCTGCTCCAGGCGCTCCCACGCCACGGAAAGAGCACATAAATCTCCCAGGAGGCAGGTAGGAAATGACTCTCCTCAGTTCAAACACCCCCTTGGGAAAACTGTTTGCTAATCCACGACTGGTCAGCAGCTGGAGATCAGCCCAGGAAGTGGGAGGTGTGTGTTCCTGCCCTGGGAGTGGGGATTTTCAAACCCTCACGCCGCTCTCACTGGGATCTCTCACTTGGGATTTGCTTCCCTCCTGTGTGTCATGGAATCCCAGAATTGTTTGTGTCAGGAGGGACCTTCCACCCCCTGCTATGGGCAGGGACACCTGGTTGCTCCAGCCTGGCCTTGAACACTTCCAGGGATGGGGAATGAAGGAAGGAATGAGTGAATGTGAGTTTGCAGCCGCAGGTCCAGGGAACTCGGCAAGGTCTACACCTGCCAAGGCACCAGAGATGTTCATCATTAGATGGACACCTCATGGAGTGGGAAGGCACAGGGAACAGCTTCAGCTCTGGGCTGGACAAGTTTCATACAATGAGGGTGGAGAGGCCCTGGCACAGGGTGCCCAGAGAAGCTGTGGCTGCCCCATCCCTGGAAGTGTCCAAGGCCAGGTTGGAGCAACCTGGGATAATGAAAGTGTCCCTGCCCATGGCAGGGGTGGAACTGAGTGATCTTTAAGGTCCTTCCAATCCAAACCATTCCATGGTTCCACTGAAATGCCCTTCCACACCACCCTGAAGCCGGGCATGAAGCCATGGAAAGACATGACATGAAGACCCTCAACTTCATTGCCTCTTTGGAAGAATTGGGGCTAGAGAGAGAGACCATCAAGGCTGCTTGTGGAAATTACTTCCTGGTTTTCCACCCTCTATGAGGGAGCAGGAAAGGAAGAGTCAGTGAAAAAGGCAGTGTGCTTTCACCTGCAGAGGTGATTTCACATGGGGTTATTCAAGACCAGAGCAAAACAGGCAACTGAGGAGCAGCTTTCCAGGAGTATCCCTGTGCTTTGCAGGAGCTCTCTGCCCCTCAGAGCCAGGCTTGCTTTTGCCAGAGCATGAAGGGGAGAGGGAAAGGGAGACAACAGGCACCAGATAGTGCAGGTGGGATCAACCTCTTCTACTCCCTCCCACTTCCCCAGGGCTCTCCACTGGGCTCCACTGCTCCCTCCGTCACGCAGATAAGGGGATTTGAGACTAAAAAAGAGGCCCAAGGCAGCCCCCAGCCATCCTCAGGGTGCCAAGAGACCCCCCCCAGAAGCCAAGCCGTGCACACACCTGGGTAGTCACAGTGGTGGATCCTCCTCTTCTCCAGCTCAGGGTTGTTGCGTCGGTTGTACTTGGGGGGCTGCATGACAATGTGCCCCTGGGAGAGGGTCCCAACGCCATTGGGGACCGGGGGCACCTGGGACGACTGGACCAGCTTCAGTCCAAAAGTGGCCTCGTAGGACGGCGGGGGGGAGATGGTGTTGATGAGCTCGGGCTGGTTCTCTGGGCTGCCCGGCTGCGAGTTGGGGGGCGAGGGGGGCAGGGTCACCCCCGGGGCAGGGTAGAACTGCCCGGAGATGTTGAAGCTGCCCTGTCCCTGGGACACGTGTGGGTACTGCTTCAGCGGCCCCGCCGGCGGGACGGGCCGGTGGCCCACGCTGGCCATGGTGCTGCCCGTGGCCATGGTGACCCCGCCGAGGCAGCTGACGGCCGTGGTGGTGCCGCCGGAGGACGTCAGGGTGGGGACGTCGCCGCCGCCGCCGCCGCCGCCCAGGGGCAGCTGGTAGAGCTGGGACGGCTGGGGGGCAGCAGACAAGGGGACCTCCGAGGGCATCTCCTGCTTGATGAAGATGTTGTTGACCGCCACCGACTGGGGCATGCTGAACACGCTGGTGAAGTCGGGCAGGGTCTGCGTGGGGCCGGGCGCGGACGAGCAGGGCTGGGCGAAGCCGGTGCCGGGCTCGGTTTTGATCTGTGGGAAGGGGGCCATGGGTTTGGGGGGCCGGTACAGCCCCGTGCGCAGGTGGGTCGTGTCCGGCAGGATCACGTTGATGTTGACGCTGTAGGGGGTGGAGTTGGGCTTCTCCGTGGAGAAGAACTCGTCCACTACCGAGGCGCTCTCCCGACGGTACTTCTTGTCCGGGAGCATCGGGATGGGGGGCACCTCGCTGGAAAGGTACTTGTCCATCTCAGAGCGTGCCTGGGGCAAAAAAACACGGACAGGAGAACTTGGGAAGAGGAACTTGGGAAGAGGTCCCCTCTGGTTGTGGGGGCAATGTCTAACAGGGATTTGAGCCAGCAGGAAATAGGGAGAGTGGGAGGAATGGTGCAGGAGGCACAGGCTGAGTTGATTTAGCTCAGTCTCTGACTCAGCCAGACGCCCCAGCAGTGAATCACTGTCCTCTGCCCCACTTCCCTCCTCCATATCTCCACTGGTAACACAGAGGATGCAGTTAGGGGAGGAATACAGCCTGATAAAAGGGAGACAAGCTTTGGGCACAAAGCCTTGGGCACACAAAGGAGACACTAGGAATGGGAGGAAAGCAGAAGCTCTGCTCCAGCCATGCTCTCACAGCTTGGGCACATTGGATTTGCAGTGCACCTTGGACATGCTGGCTCTGGTCTCCTTCAAACTCAGCAGCCTGAGATGGGTTTTATTCTGGGACAGCGTCTTTAGTTACCTGAGAAATTCTAGGACAGTATCTTTAATTAATTGAGAATAATTTGGGCCTAGAAATCTAAGTGTTGTTGTTCAGTGCACTCTGAGCCTAAGATGGAAACCTCCAGGCACACTCTTACTGCCTCACCTTGGCAGAGTGACTCAGCCCTCACTTAACCTTTGGCTTAGTCCTGGTTTTACAGAGCTGTTTTTACAAGCCTGTGTCCTCCAAGCTAACAGGACTTCTGGCTCAGACAAGCAGGTTCCTTCCCCTCCTGGTTCCTGTCTGCTGTGGCATCCCACTGGATCCAGGCCCAATAACTCAGCAACCTGATGGAGCAATCCTCTAGGAAATTCATCCCCTGGCGTTGGATGACTCAAGTTCTGCTCTTTGTGGTTACAGATACCAGCTCTAATGCTCTTCTGCAAAGCTCCAGCCTTTAATTATGTGGTTATCCATGTGTCAAGCTCCTTGCAAAGCCCTCAGAGACTCATTCATATGTAGAGGAGCTGGCAGAGCCGCCAGGTTTCCCTGGCAGAGCCCTCAGTGCACTCCAGGAGCACGAGCTGATCTCAGCCCACGCCCTGCCCAGGGTTGTACAGCCCTGAACTATGTCACCAGAGTGCCAGGGGCCAAAGTCAGCCCTGCTGCAACTCCACTGCTCATAACAAAGCTGGAGGGGGGCCAAGAGACTTCCTTGTCCTTTCCAGCAAAACGTATCACCCGGGATCCAGCTCGTTCCAAGGGCCTTTGCCCCTCTCCAGGAGCACAACTGGCAGCGCTTGGCCGAGCTGGCACCTCCCCGGGCACAGGGACGGGCACAAACACAGCCTCCTGTCCACAAATACAGCCTCCTCTCCACAAATACAGCCTCCTCTCCAAAAATACAGCCTCTTCTCCACATATACAGCCTCCTGTCCACAAATACAGCCTCTTCTCCAGGGACAGGAGCTCAGGGAAGCCAGGTTGGGAAGGGCTACGCTGCCCCAGAGCAGAGTACACCAGACTGGGACTGGGGTGTGTGCCCACTGCACTGGGAATCCTATGGAATCATGGAATCCTTATGGTGGGAAAAGACCTCTAAGATCATCAAGTCCAACCATGACATGTCCATCCTCATCAGGGCCTGAAAAGTCCCTTGTTAAAGGAAGCTCAAACAACCCCCTCACGTGCTCCAGAGAGGGAACTCTCACTCAGGAGGAACCTAAAGCCACTCATAGAGTCATGGAATATCCTGAGATGCAAGGGATCCATGAGCATCATCCAGTCCAACTCCTGGCCCTGCACAGGCACCCCAACAATCCCACCCCGTCCCTCAGAGAGTTGTCCAAACCCTCCTGGAGCTCTGGCAGCCTTGGGGCTGTGCCCACTGCCCTGGGGAGCCTGGTCAGTGCCAACCACCCTCTGGGGGAAGAACCTTTCCCTGAGATCCAACCTGACCCTGCCCTGACACAGCTCCAGCCATTCCTGGGTCCTGTCACCAGAGATCAGCCCCTGCCCTCCCTTTTTACCCAAAGGCATCAGTGGGAGGCAGGGAAGGGACTCCGAGACCCTTCACCTCCATCCTCCCAGAGGGCTCCAAAGCCCTGATTTCCTCCCAGTGTCCAGCCTGGGTTCCTGCCCTAGGGAGAACCACTCCAAAGCTTTGGAGCTGAGCCCTGGGTGCTCCTGGCACCCAGACTGGCACGGGTTCCCTTGGGTGTCAGCTCCAGGCAGTGGCAGTGGCTCCGGATGCCGCACATACCTGAGCAGTGAAGGGCCCGCTGGCCACTCCAGCAGGGAAGGTGCTGGATGCCTTTTACTTCCACACTCCTCTTATCTCTGGCATTTCACTTTCTCACCTCCAGTTCCCAAGGGAAGGTCTCCTCCCCACTCCTCCAGTGGGGCAGGTGACCAGGCAGGAGGATAAAGGTGGAAAGGTGTGGATCTTAGAGGTCCTTCCCAAACTAACTGGTTCCGTGGAGGGCCCTAATTTCAGATGCCAGAGGTGCATCCTCAGCTGGAGACCCCCTGCCCTGTGCCTGCCCCCCCTTCAGTGTCACCCAACATCCCTTTCTCCCACAACCCCCCTTGCAGAGCACAGTCTTCTCCCTATTTTTCCACTAAAACCCAATTCTTTCCTTCAGGCTCCCGAGGAGGGTGTTGAGGGGCAGCAGTGGAGTGTCACCACATGGGAGGACACCAGTGGGGACTGCCCGTGGCTGCAGCCCCCCTGCTGTGTGTGTGTGTGTGTGTGCAGGACCTGGACAACAATGGAATTGTCCCATGGAATGCTCCACTATGTCCCCAGGAGCCCCAGAGTTGCAGCATCCTTCCAACAGAGAGAAACGGGCACTTCTTGTTTGTGGCCCAGAAACACGTGGTAACCACAGACCCCCTGGCACTGCTCAGCAAGGGGGTGGCGCTTCAGACCCCAAAGCACTTCCCAAGCAGAGCTCCATCCAAAATCAGGGCAGCTGAGGGAGCTGGGGGGGGCTCAGCCTGGAGAAAAGGAGGCTCAGGGGGGACCTTCTGGCTCTGCAACTCCCTGACAGGAGGAGGGAGCTGGGGGGGGGGTCGGGCTCTGCTCCCAGGGAAAAAGGGACAGGAGGAGAGGGAACGGCCTCAAGTTGCACCAGGGTGGGCTTAGATTGGATATTGGGGAAAAATTCCTTCATGGAAAGGGCTGTGAAGCCCTGGCACAGCTGCCCAGGGCAGGAGTGGAGTCCCCATCCATCCCTGGAGGGATTTAACAGCCCTGTGGATGTGGCACCTGGGGACGCGGGTCTGTGGTCGCCTTGGCACTGCTGGACCCGATGGTCTTGGAGAGCTTCTCCAAATCAAACAATTCCATGATTCTGTGAAGTCCTCGGCCCAGGGTGGGCACAGCAGGGGTGACCCAGTGCAGACATGCCTGTGTGGGATCCCACTCCAGCCCCCTGAACTCAGGTGCCTCAGGCTGTCACTCAGGGCTCCTGTCACAGCCCCTGGGATCCAGTTCAGGGATTAACTGGAGCCATGAAGGAGGCACAGGTGCCTGGGGACTGGCAGAGATGGAGGGACGTGCCCTGCCTGGTGGTGGGGCCAGGAGGAGGGAGCGGAGGTGCCACCTTGTCCTCACAGTGGATCTGGGTGGGTGGGGGGATGTCCCAGCTCCAGGGGACTTCAGTGGTCCCTCACCAGGGGGAGCAGGAGGATGCAGGGGCAGGAATGAGGGAAGTGACTCACCTCCAGAATGAGTGGTGGCATCCGCTGGTCCATCCTCATGGGGTGCAGCTGTGGGACACAGCACGGGGTTAGTGGGGTGTTCACCCCTGCAGGCCCCCCCAGACACCCTTGGTCATGGAGGGCATTGCCCCCCAGAGCCCCACAGAGCCCCACAGAGCCCCCCAGAGCCTGCCCACCCTGTGCCTGCCATCTCCTCCCACTCCACACCCCATGCAAGCAGCTGATGGTTGCCCACCACAGGTTGATGGTTGCCCACCATAGGATGGGACTTGCCCAAGGAGGAGCAGTGAAGCCTCTTTGGCTTCTCACAGGGAAAGCAAAGCCAGCTGAGAAGCACAGAGCTCTGCAGAGGAGACTTTGAGGCACACAGAGCAAAGACCTTCGGAGACATCCAGCCCAGTGAAACCAGTCTGTCCTCCCAGTTCCCTGCTGGGCAGGCAGGAACGTTCCTGCTGTGTGCTGGGAATGGGCTGGAAGCCCCTGGAGCAGACAGCAAGGGCTGAGCCCCAACCCTCACTCCCCAAGCCATGCAGGGGGGTTTTTTGGTGCAGAGCTGGGGCTGTGATAAGCCCCAACACCCCCCAGGGTGGGCACCCACCACGAGGTGCTGGGATAGCAGCAGTGGGGCAGCTCCATGAACTCAACCCAGCCCCTGCAAGGTGATGTTCTCACATGACACCACTGCCAGGCTCCCACACACAGAGGACTTGAGGGAATCCCACCTCCCCAGGGACCTTCTCTGCCATTTGCCCTCAGCTGGCCCATTCCTGTGCTTCTTTCCAAGGTGGAAAGACTTTGCCAGGATTTACATCTGCTTTAGCATTCCCTGTATGCCAACAGTAAACATTGTGCATACACAGCCTCTCCTCTCCTGCCTCAGTTCCCCCCAGATTTTCACAGAGGGCCGAGGACTCTTCCCAAATCTCTCCCCCAGACCCAGATCCTTTCCCCAAGGTCAGTGCTCCAAACAGGCCACAGTCCTTCGGCACCAAGTAGAGGGGAAGAGTTTTATCCAAATCCCAAACCAGTATTTATCAGCCTTCTGTGGGTTCTGCCTGTGTCTCATTCTCCCTCCACATCCTTCTCCTGCTCACTTCCAGTGTGTCCATCTACTCCACAACCCCTTGGTTCCATCCACTCTCCCATTCCTCCAGTCCAACAGGTGGTAAAGCTCCTCTCCCCTCCCGGTTTGGGGCCACTCACACATCGTCAGGCTGGTCGTGAGACCAGCAAGGGCTCAAAACCAGCACAGCCCTCCCTCTGTCCCACAGAAAACCAGCAAAACCAACTCAGTGGACTCATTTTTGAGGTGTTCACGTTCTGGGAGCTGCATCCAAATGGAGGATGTTCCTTGCAAAGCCACAACAGACCCCAGAGCCCCACGGCATTGAGAGAAGAGATGCCAGGCTGGGAATGCTGAGAACTGCCACCCCTGGAGAGCTGCTGGGCTCCATGTGCCCATGGAAGCACGAGGAGATGCTTAAACATGAACTCTCCTGGGGTTTGGGCTTGAAAGCTGTGTCACATCACCCCCATCAGCTGGAAGAACCAGCTTCAGAAGCACCTGCATCCTTCAGCCAAGCTCCTTCACAGGGAATCCTGAGCCTGCAGCAGTTGGATCCTCCTGCTGGGATCAACCTCACCAGGAGACCACCAAACCCTCTGCTCTGGCAGCTGTCTGCAGTCCAGCCTGGCCTTGGAGAGTGCAGGCACAGAGGAAGGACTGAGGGCAAAAGGGGAGGAAGCCCATGGACACAGAGGCTCTGCATCCTCACCCAGATCCATGGACACAGGGGCTATGCATCCTCAGCATTCCCTTGGACACTGGGGCACTGCAGCCCCCTTTTCCATCCCAAGCAGGTCCTGGCTGCATCCCTGCCTGGGGCAGCTCCAGCCTCTTTGGGGGGCTCACACGAAACAGGAATGACCTGGACTGATCAGCCCATCCCTTCCTCCCTATCCTCCAGCCACGGGCAGGGAATGAACGTTTCCTTACTTTTTTGAGAAGGACTGAACTCACCACACCCCCAGGGCACTCAGTTCATCAGCAGGGCACAAGATGTCCACCATGACTCGATGGGGAAAGGCCCCAGAGCCTTCCAGATGAAGAACCACCAGGTCTTTAGTGGGATCACCTTCCTATAGTAGGGACACCTTCCACTATCCCAGGTTGCTCCAACCTGGCCTTGGACACTTCCAGGGATGGGGCAGCCACAGCTTCTCTACCCAATCTGTGCCAGGGCCTCCCCACCCTCCCAGCCAAGAATTCCTTCCCAGTATCCCATCTATCCCTGCCCTCTGCCATTTTAAGCCACCCTTGGTGTGGCCAGGAAGGCAAAGCCAACAGGAACAGTCTTTCACACAGTCAAAGCACTGAACTCTGGGGGTATTTTCCCCTCAAACATCACAGTCCCTGTTTTTGACCCCGAAGGAGCATCTCTTCAACTTGCCAGAGAAAAGAAAATCGAAATAAAACTGAGAAGGAAGCACAAACAAGCACTTTGTCCACCCCAGTAAGGCCACTGGACACCAGTTTGTGTGACTGGAGCAGCAGGACCGTGTCACGCTTAGCACTGGCACATCCCAACCTGGCCACCAAAATTCCCAGGAAGGCAGGATAACCTCGGGAGCAGCTCTGGGAGGGCTGTGTGTGTGGAGCCCCCCCGGCCCTGCAGGCCAGTCACTCACTGAAGATGCAATGACACCCCAGTTCCCCAGAGTGGATTCTCCAGTGGCTCACGGGTGTGGACACCAACATTCCCCCTCTGCCAGTTTCCATAAATCCTGCAGGAGCTTGGAGACCTGCAGGCCTTGGAGCCCTCTCTCCCTCCTTCAGGTGTTGTCAAAGCCAGGTGAGGTGTTATCAGGACACGGATCAATACAAGCAGAGTCCAAGACAAACATTTCTGGGGAGGACTGAGATAAAACCCTGCCTAAGCCAACGGTGGGGATTAACCAGGAGCATCGTTAGCACAGCGGGGGCTGCCGAGGGGGGACTGTCTGTCCCGTGATTAAACGCTTTCTAATCTGCAGTTGATAAATAACAAACCGTCAGAGAAACATCAGGCGTTGTCACCGCAGCAGAGAACAAGGCGAGAAATCAATGTTTGCTAAACAGGCAACGAGCTTGTAAAGCTGCCACGGGGAGGGGCTGGGGGGGAGAGGCCTCAGGGGGGACTCTCAGCTTCGAGCCCTTTGCTCATTCCTGCCTGGCCAAAGCCCCCATCCTGTTTTCCAAATAGGAGACCCCTTCCCAGCTGGGTCCCCAGCCACCCCCCAGCAGTGGTGCTGTGCTGGTCACTGGTGCAAAGAGGGGCCAGCAAAATGTCCCTGCAGGGCAGCCAACGGCACAACCCTGTGTCCAGCTCTGGGGAACAACAGCAGGAGGACGTGGAGCTGCTGGAGCAAATCCAGAGGAGGCCACGGAGATGCTCCCAGGGCTGGAGCCAGGCTGGGAGAGCTGGGGGGGGTCACCTGGAGAAGAGAAGGCTCCAGGGAGACCTGAGAGCCCCTTGCAGGGCCTAAAGGGGCTCCAGGAGAGCTGGAGAGGGACTTGGGACAAGGGATGGAAGGACAGGACAAGGGGCAATTGCTTTAAATTGGAGTAGGACAGGTTTAGGTTGCATATTGGGAAGGAATTCTTCCCTGTGGGGATGGTGAGGAGGCCCTGGCACAGGTTGGGCAGAGAAGCTGTGGCTGCCCCTGGATCCCTGGAAGTGTCCAAGGCCAGGTTGGAGCAACCTGGGCTAGTGGAAGGTGTCCCTGCCCGTTGCAGGGGGTGGCACTGGATGAGCTTTAAAGTCCCTTCCAACCCAAACCATTCCAGCATTCCAGGACATGGGGGTTCAAGGGATGGGGGAATGGCAGGATTCTCCATCCAGAGGCCAAGGGGGCCCCTCCTCGGTCAACATTTGTGTTGACTATGGTTGTGCCCGTTGTGCCAGCCCTGGGATTACCCAGCACAGCCTTTCTCATACGTGCACCTGCATGAAACTCCAGCCTCCAAGGGAATCAGCAAACAATGGGCAG